ATAGAAACATCATGAGATTGTTCATTTGATATTCTGCTTGATATAGTTGATTGAATGGTCACATATGAATAAAATTGATTATATTTGCAGCTGTAAAACGGTTTATGATTTGGAAAACAGAGCGAGAAACTGTGCGTGTAAATTAAAAAGTTGGAACGAGTGATTGAGTTTGATATGGGATTTAGTATTAAATTTTGAATAATTAATGTTTATAAGATGGTTGCTGAAGTAGGAGACGAGGGCGGCGATATAGATTATGAATATTTGATAAGATGGTTGGTTACTTGGTTGGTTGGTGAGTTTTCGCATTTGACCGTAATGTTCTTAATTAATTAATTAATTAGTGAGTCAACAATTAATTGGGAAGAATCGTCGAGAAGATTTCGACGAGAATTTTGAAGAGTATTAAAGCATTAGATTGCAGGCGGTTGATTTGCAGTGAATAATAATTTGCGAATATTTTGATTTTTCGAATATTTTGACGTAACAAACGAATTCATTCCAAGTTGAATAGAGCAGATGGATTGGTTTGTGATCTGATATGATCTGATTAGTGAGTGATCTGATATGATCTGATTAGTGAGTGATCTGATATGATCTGATTAGTGAGTGATCTGATATGATCTGATTAGTGAGTGATCTGATCTGATCTGATTAGTGAGTGAGAATTTTAGATGTGAACATGATTTATGTGCTTGTTAAGATGTGGGTTTGGTTACTGTTGCATAATTGAGTAGCTGCTGCTGCTGACTGGATGGATGGATCGATTGGAAGCAGATGTTGAAGAATGTGAAATGTGGTGATAGAGACATTTTTTTGTTATGGTTTTGATTTTAGAATTGTTAGTTATAATTATATGGTGATTATCGTAATTGTTTTATCCTTATTATTGTTATTATTATTAGTAATTTTATAGTAATGCGTTTGCTGCATTTTTTTTTGAAAGATTTTCTGATATTGGATAGATTGATGTTTTGAAAGGGCGACGGATGTTTTTTTTTGGTGGATGGATATATTTGGAATGAAATTATGATTTGATACAGTGATTGTGTGATGCAGTTGATTGATGGATGGATGAATGGATTATGAGATTAACGAAAGTTTAATTCGAGTAGATGTCAGAAGATATTTGGACTGGATTGAGATTGGATTTTGGATTGGATTTGGCGATCTTGAAATGATTGCGGAGTTGTTTTTTGCAGAAAATGGAACTTGCTTTAAATTGTGCATCTCATTTTTTGTTTTGCTTTTTTTTTGGAGAAAAAGACGAACAAAAAGGAAAGTTAACTGAAGAAATGAGTGAATTAATGACAATTGAGTAAATATTTGTTTGTTTATGGTCGAATGAATGTGAAAATTGGATAATAATGTGAATTTGAGTGCGAAAAAAAGGAACAAAACAAGTGGAACGAAGGTTGAAAATGAAGCGAAATTGAGAAAATGAATGTGTGAAAAACGAATGTTTTTATTGTTTGAAACAAAACGATTGATGACGATAGTGGTGGCATGAGAGGATTATGTGGGCTGGCTGGCTTGATTCTATCATATGAGGAGGACTAGACAGAAGATTAGCGATTGCATGGATGGATATGCGCTTGAAGATGATGATGGTGATGATGGTATTGTCCGAGATTCGATGTGCTTCTTCAGTTAAGTGATATTCGTTAGAATAGAGCAAAATTTGAGAATTGTATGAATGAATTGCACTTGAGAATTTGAAGAAAACGACGAACTGATTGTGAGTATAACACGATCGAGGAGGTTTTCATTGAGCTGTTGTTGTTGTTGTTTGTTCGATTGCAAGCACTAGAACAGAGCATAGGAACAGAACAGAGTATAGGAACGGAACAGAACAGAGCATAGGAACGGAACAGAATGAGCCAAGAGAACAGTTTGGCAAAAGTATGGAACAGAAACGAGATAATGAGATGACGCAGGGAAGGAATGAGGGGATTGAGGATAATGATGGTGGTTTTAGATTTCTTTCAAACAATTTAAAGAATGATGATTATTTAGCCGTGTAAATGCGTAAATGGATGTGAAATTTGATTAGCGATAGAAGATTGATGCGACGATTGACAATGAGTAATTTAATGCAGTGCACACAATGTAATTTAATCATAAAATTTAATTGATGTGATCAGTACATTATTCATGTATTATAATCGAATCATTGATTATTCACGATCAGTTGATTTTATTCAAATTTATTTAGCATCTAACAGGGATGGGAGCTAGGAAAACGGCTGGCTGAAGCCAGTAGCTAATTCGGTATGAAATTTGAAAAGAGTACGTCCTGTTGATGTAATGTGAGGAGAGCATGTTGGCGTGGATTATATTATGAGATTAGAGAAAAATGGATGGATGGATGGCTGGGGACGTTGACGAGATTGACGAATGTTTATTTTTTATGATTTTATTTGTTGTAACGAAAGAAAAGTAAAAAGTAATGATAAATATCAAAACTGTAGTCAAAATGAGTGATTGGTTGATTGATTGATTGATTGATTGATCAGGACAGTGCACACCAGTACACGTGTTGGTTGTATGAAAATGATTGCTGCTGCTTTTAACGAGTGATCATATAATAGATTTGATCATTTTTGTAGATCATTTACTTGATTCGATTGACGAGCAGAGATAGTTCGTTGATAGATAGTTGGATTTTATTGGCGCGTATGATTTTTTTATTCATTATCAGAGAAGAAATAAATACTGCTGCAGTGACAGTACAGTTCAGTGTTTGGTTTGTTTTGGTTGCTGTGCGGTTGTTTAGTTTGAGTGTTCTCGGGTGTGGTTCTCGAGATTCGGTGGCTACCAAACCAATTCTAGTGTGGTGTGAGGGTTGATTGGTTTGGATAACTGTTTTGAGCCGCAGCAAGTTTATTTGCTTGCTTGATCTATTCGTCTGATGGTTTCTCTTTTATTCCATTCAGATGAATTTGGGTTTGGCCTCGGATCCTTTGAAGTTGTTATTAAGAAGGCTTAAAGACTGTTCGATGTGTTGTTGAATTTATATGTGAGCAATGTTCACAGGCAGAGAATTGTTTCAATCCGTAAAGTTGCTTGATACTTCATATTGCAGACAAACGACGATTATAACGAAGCATCTAGATAGATTTGTTTATGCATCGTCAAAAGGACAGGACTGATGGATGTTGATGTATGGGATTTATATATAAGTACTTGAGTGGGGTAGGACTTAAGTGGAATAGTATCGTTTACTCGTCACGATTGATGGATAATAAGCAGTAAGAGTAAGCATTATTAAAGTTTAATAACAACGGCAGTAATAATGGTTATGTGTTTGTGATAGTGTGTGCAGATTATTGAGTGCTGGATTGATTCAGTGCTTCATATAAATGAGCATATGTAAAGGTGCTATTAGAGGTCTAATTGAGGTAGTAGAGATCTATTGAGCCTGCGATAATTGCGATATCAGTAGTATCATTGAGTTGGTTGATGGAAGGAATTTGATTAGTATGAACGATTTGATATGTTATGTTCGAATATTTGAAGCAGTTATATTCAATACGTGTTTGTTTGCAGCATCATTTTTCTGATCTCATGATCGAGATTGTGAAGTTGCAGTTGAAATTTAGTTGAGATCTCATTTCGTTTGTTACTTACCTCTTAAATTGTTGTTGTTTCTATAATTTTTATTTATTTCCGCAATTACACACGCATCAGAAACCGGGCAGCCAGCTGTTCCGTTCGGTTGAAGCCGAATCGATTTAGTTAAACAGTAGGTAGGTAGGTAGTAAGATTTGCCGAGTACGTAAGGTAGCAAAAGAAGAGGCTTCGATTTGCATTATTCCATGCATGTGGTCGGCAAAGCTTGCTCTGGTAGGCTTTATGTACTTGTGGTGATGGAAGAATGGCTGGCTGGCTGGCTCGTTAGATGGTATGATACCGTACTAGTAGGTGCCCATTAGATACCGTATCGTATCGTCCGGGCTACACTACTACCGTAGCCGCAAATAGCGTGTCGCTCATTCAGTTTCACAGATATCATTGATGTCTGTCTTACTTTTGTTACATACGGTGTCAGGGTTACTGTAATGTATTAGTTGATCTATTATACATGAGGCAGTTCCTTAATGCTACTTGTGTTAATTATGTGCTCATACGGATGGATGTGTATAAGTCGGATAAGATTTTCAGTTTATGACACAATATTTTTTCAGCGATAACACATCGTATTATTTTGCTTTACACAATGGGTACATTATAAGTGTTTATTGGAGGTGGTGATTGATTTATTGATTGATTGATTGATTGTTATTTGATGGAAGGAATGTTATAAGCGAATATGAATTGGAATAGGAATGAAACGAGATACTGGAAAATAGAGGTGAATGTATATGTATATGGATTATTACTTCTCAATGAATTATATTGTAATTGCTGCGAGGAGTGCATAAAGCAGCGCTGAATGCATAAAACAGCATTTATCAGGTGATTAGTTCCGTAATTGTCTCGTTTTGAAACTTTTTTTTTTTGAAGTTTTAGTTGGATTCTATTTCCTTACAGCACATCTATTATGTATGTGTATGTATTGCTGAAGCTTGGAGCATTTGAAACTTTAATAGTCGTGGGTGCAGCGTGAGCGGTGCAAGAACAACATCTAGTGTTCGTGGTGAGCGGCACTAGTCTGCCAGCAGCTTAGATCTGGATTGATCCGGATTTAAGGTGGTGATTGAGTGGCGTGATCTTGTTGGTGGCTTAAAAGCCGCTACTTTGCTAGAGATTAGATGCATACAAAAGTAAGTGCTGCTTAGCAAGACTATCTATCTATCCATTTGTATGTGTTGTGTAAGTTTTATGCAAAATATTCGAGGGTGTGATCAGTGTCATGGATTGCAGTGAACAGTGAACGTTGAAGTGAGAAGTTGATCTCTGAAATTGGATGAACGGACTGTTGTGGGTGGGTTGAAGTGAAGTGTGCATATATATGGCTGATGAAATGAGATGAGACTTGCAAACGAATGATAATGATGATGAAAGTGGAATATTGTGGAGGATGCGATGGTGATGATCAGGAATGTTATGATCGTATGAATGCTGCTGCAGGTGGCTGCACACCTGCATACATAAGGCGACTTGATCGAACGCAACAACAGCCGAACGTGATCTGTGGAGAGGTGAAAGCAGCAGCAGCAGCAGCAGCAGCACAGCCACCATTTATGACTGCAAGCAGCAGTAGTTTGTGCTGTTTTGAAATGATGCATTTGAAGGTTGGTTGGTGATCATTTGGTGATTGGTGATCACTGAATCAATCAGCTGACTGAAGTTTATTCTAGACTGCCGGAATGGTGGTAGCTTACGTAGAGCTGATGTTGCTGATATCGTTGCTGTCATCTCTGGCTGCGCAATGCGTTGTTCGTGGCTATTCACCCGCACTTCTACTTACCGTAATCGTTTCTGGCATACAAGCGTTGTGCTTGTATTCACTCGTGATTGGTATTAAACGTGAACGTCTTGGTAAGGCAAATCAAATAGTGTATGCTTGAATTATAACAGTATAATTTGTATGTGGCACTTATTAATTAATTAATTAATTAATTAGTTGATGTGCGTAAAAGTGAGATAGGTAGATTACAGCAATAGATCACGTCAGCACAGAGAATTAATTGTATTAATTGCACTTGCTTCACTATCTTAAATGTCTCAAATTTGAGATATATCCATCTCAAATTTTGCAGATTTTTTACTCCTTTCAATGGCTAGTATTGGAATACGTTTACTATTAGCCGGTGTTTATTTAATTGCAGTGGTTATTGCGAATTATGTACAGCCGATCAGGAATGGTTTGTTATTACTTACTTATTTACTTAATTACTTTGCAGCAATTTAACCCAATTTTAATCCTGATTGGTTTTGAAAGTTTTAGCAGCAGAAGTTTAGATTAGATACGTGGTGCATATTACTTGATTTGAACATGAGTGGATAGCCGAGCCGATAGCTTGATTTAGTTGATGAACGCTACTTTAACTTTATCTTTATCGAGAAGTTTTAGTAAGTATCCATCATATGTGTATAGAGCAAGCGAGTGATCGTGAGCGAATTAACTAATTGTGATGGAGTATTTGAGTGTTTGAATTAACTAATTAACGAATTAGCTAATGAATTTGAATGTTTTGTTTTAGTGACTGAATGAGTGAGTGTGTTGTGCTCGTTGCTGGCCTAAGCTTTTTTTAATGATTTTTAATGGTGGTGAGCATAGCATTTAGGTGCTGTCATGTTTAGTGGGTGCTGAGTTAATTTGCGTTCATTTAAGGTATGATTAATGGTGATAGCGAGTATGCTGACGACGATCACGATGGATCATCGTCTCTATTGATCAGTGATCTACACAACAAGAATATTGTGATATTGTGCTCAACAGTGGCGGTTGTATTTGTGGTTGTTTATGGATATTGCGAGTGGCTTATTTGGAGACTGTACTCGTATTTGGGTGCGATTGATGAGTGCATTCTGGTTGGGAGTGCTTCGAGTTGCATTATGGAGCAATCGAAGAGTGCTACAGCGAACGGTTTAGTGGGCAAGAAGCGTTCAGCAGCAACAGGAGGAGGACATGTGACTAGTTGTCGTTGGTTGTGCTGGCATTGGTTTAGTGGACGTTCGTCGTCGGTAAGTGCTGATAATAATGCTTGTTTGATGCAAACAACGCAACTTAAGTTGTTTCAGTGGAGACGAGAGTGCTGCGATCATGACGGGCATTTGGCTAATGCAAGGGATAGTTGTAGTAGTACGTTTTCGTTGTGGGCGATCGACAAAAATAATGCTTATCGTAATTGTAATAGTAATAATAATGATATTCAATATAAAACAACCACTATTACGCTTGCTGATGAAGAGCAAAAACGAGCAGCAGCAGCAGTAGAGCAAAGAGAATTCATCAGAAGAGCAGTGCTGAATAAAGAAGCAGATGGAGATGGTCAAATGGCAGCAATGACCACGTCTACGATGATAACGACAGCGAGTCCGGCTCCGGCTCCGGCTCCGGAGTCGGTGCAGTCGTCTCCGGAGCCAAAATTGGAACGATCGCTAACGATTAAAATGGCTTCGGCTTAGACATCAACCAAGGACTAAAACAGTCCGAATCGCCCGCCTTGAGTGGTTTTCAAAGTGCGCATATGCTCGATATTATACAATGATTATAACAGATTATTATTAATTTTGCAATTCTTTCTTCTTCCCCAGCAATAGTTTGGGCAACAGTATATTCGCCGTATAGTAATTTTTTGTACAGAACTTTATACATACTGTCATGCGAATAAATATTATTTATTTATTAATAAATATTAATGTATGCATAGATCTGAGAATATATATTTATTTATATTTGTGAGTATGTGGATGCGTAATGGAAAATAACATCATAATGACTGATATACAACTGATATGATTGGGAGGAGAGAATGAACACTTGAAGTACCCGTTAAGATGTGTGTTGGTTTTGAATTCGATGCGACAGCAATTGATTAACGGATGGTGTTGTTTCAGTTAGTGATAATTGATTACGTGCTTGTGGGTTACGGTTACGAGTGCTCGAGAGTTTAAGTGGTTTACGATGATGAGGAGGAGTTGAGTAGGATGCACGAGGCACGATTAGATTTTCATATTTTGAGGAGTTGAATTTGGATTTGGGTTGTTGTTTACGAGTGCGTTCACGGTTGGTTTACTTTTGCTGCTGTTCATCGTCATACTGATTTGACAACAGTCGCTTGGCTTGCGCTCCGACACAGCACACGTGGTTGTCTCATTGTCACTGAGTGTGATCAATTTGCCGTATTTGGTGTCGAATTTCATTCGGCATGTTGACATCTTACCAGTTTTCTGCAATTGATCACTGATAAAATTGATCACAGTTGATCAATTGATCACTCATACGATTGATGATCAGTGAGGAAAATTTTGTTGTAAGGAGTGCGATTAATGAAGAGTTGAAACAGTAAGGATCAATTAGTGTATTGTGTTTGTCAGTTGAGTATTTGCTTGAATATTATTGATGGTGATTTGATAGTGCTGGTATTATTTTGATCAGTGCTGTCTGTTATTGTGGGTGTTTTCGTAAGATATACCTGATCGAACGAATGACACTCTTGGAACGGTGGTATGTACAAGTGTAAGCTGACTGCGTTATCGACGTGACTTGGATTCTCCATGCGATGTAAGCCAAGTTCATCTGAAATTTTCGATGGATGGATGTATCGATGAGTGGTTAGTTTATAGATGGCGTAAAAACACGCCAAATTATAGTGTAATAAGCCTACCGCAGATATAGGTGACATCGTTTTTTGCACAAACATTTGAGGAGATTTGTTTGAGAGGTTGCTCTTGATCACTTGATGATGGCCATTCGAAACGCTGCTCCAACAAAGCACCGTCAAGCATTTTCACGAAACAGTGTGCATCAGTATGACTGTGAATACTGAAATTTTTATTATTATGCTGAAATTTATTAGTATGACTGTGAAATTAGAAAATTATTTATTATTAAATACTGAAATTATTTTATTATTATTACTGAAATTATTATTGTATTATTATGTTGCAGTTGAAGTTGCTTGCTTGCTTCTTCAACTGATCACGCGCTCTTAAAAGTGTTAAAATACCTGCTGCCCATACCAGGACCCCAGCATAATATCATAAGATTGTATTTGCCATTGCCAACGTCCACCAAATTTCTCGTATATCTGCAAATGAAATTTGTAAACGGATATAAAAACGGCGATTTTGCCGATTGATTGCTGTGTCCATACGTCTAATTAAATAAGGATTAAGGATAAGGATTAATAAGGATTAAGTGAATAGCTAGTCTAGCTACACGGATGACACGTTTCTGTTGAGCCATTTTAGCACATTTTTAACGTTCGTGTCAATAAGCAGTAATAAGCAGTAATCACAACACACTAACTACTACTACTAACGTGTTGTCGTTGAATTGTGCGAATTTACTCCAGTCATCCGGATTACTTTTGTACGCTCTGAAGACGTCTTCAACCTCTTGCACATCGATCTGATCCTCTTGGAAGATGCGTCGAATTCGTTCGCAAAGTATCTCCATTGCTCACCTGCCTGATCAAATTGCTCACTCACTTTCAGTGATAATATCGAATTTCATTTCCTAGATAATAAGAACGGCAATAAGTTGACCGCAACAAGGAACTAGTAATCGCTGAGGAACGTGATGTTAATGGCGTGGTTAGTTGACTGATTTGATTGTACATCAATTAAACAACCTTACATCACGTTCTCATCTTCCTATAAACTGGTACTGACTAATGATAATAATAATAATAATAATAATAATAATAATAATATTGATGATAATAATATCAATAGTATTAATTCATCAATAATTTCAATGAAATTAATGTTGATCTATGAGGTTTTATTTAGAAGTGTGAAATGCGAACGATGCACACATGAAAAGAACTGATACTAGTTTTATTATACAAGTTATTTTATAATATTAACAGGTAATCCAGGTAATTATTACTATGAAAAGAATTTATTTATTATATAAAATACTATTTATTATTATCAGTAATGGTATGATTACCGATAGATACAGTTGTTATTGTTCCACTGTAAAATATTGGTGAGCACATTGCAATCGCACGTGTTTATATAGAGATACGCGCAGTGTTTGGCTGTTACATAAAGTGTAGTTGGTGATTATGGGATGAGTAATTAAATTAATTAGTTGATCAATCAATCAATTAATTAATTAATTAGAGTCTTGTGCTGCTGAATTCGTCGAATCATTTCAATAATAACTTTATGATTATTGACGGTGTTTGATCTGTGTGGTATGTTTTTATTATCATTATTATTATTATTATTGTTGTTGCTGATAACCATTTCTTGTATCGTTTAAAGGAATAATTGACGGTAGTTGTTTAATTGTTTGAATAATTAATTAATTGAATAATTAGAATAATTGTTTGAACATGACAAAATGTGCTGATTGTTATCGTTATTTGTGGTTGTATTGATGCTATATTGCATTGCAACAGTTTTATTGGATCTCTAATGATTTTATTATTATCGGAGAGAAATTTGAGAAATATTCTATGGAGAATTTTAGAAAATTTTAGTTTACAACTCAGAATCTATCAATCAGAGCAGGAAGAATGTAATATTGGTGATAAGGGAGCGACGGGCGGGCGTAAACCCGTACTGAGTTATTTGAATTGCTGCTGATCAAAATAAATAAATCAATCAATCAAGAAGATCAAAAGTGTGATCACATTGCAACGACGACGACGACGACGACTGTACTTTGAATTCGCTTCTTATTCCGCGAACAAATTGCTTGAACGTAAGAAATATTTATTTATAATATTTTCTGATTACTAACAATATTGTTATCATTGAGAATAGTTTTAAGTAAGTAGCCAAATGATAACGGTGATAATCATGATAAGAATGCTATGACTACTGATAGTGATATTGATAGTGATAATTTGATAATAGAGAGGAAAGTGTACCCACTCATAGCATTGTCAATTCTGTCTTGTCAATCAGAAATTTTTAGTTTTATTATGTTATTTTGTTAGTTTTATTATGATTACCATAGAAATGTAGAAGGAGAGACAGCAGACTGCGAAGATGGTTTTGAGTGGTTTGTTATACATCCATCAATGGATGATAGATGAGAAGAGGATAATTTTGAAGGTGATCGAACGAATTTTTTCGAGATTTGAAGCGGCGGAAAAGACTTGGAATGATGGAATAAATGATGCAAAAAACAGCAATAAATATTTTCACCGTAAAACACATCATGATCTGGTGATGACGAACACGACGAGAAAGGTTGTTTTTGAAGTGAAGCTGCAGAAGACGTTCAAGTGCACAAGAGGTATGTGCGTGCTTTGGATGGTAAAATTTACGGATGGTAGTTAAGATATTGAAACGAAAACACTCAGCAGCAATTTTTGTTTTTAACGAAATGTAATTGTATTGCCTTATCATGCCTTATCATACGAGTATATGACATATATCATGTCATATATGACATATATCATGTCATGCCCATGCCATATATCATGCCTTATCATGTGTGCGTGCGTGCTTTAAGCGCAGAGAAAGTATATTTTGGTTGTGTGAAATTGAAATTTAAGTGAAATGTTCGTAGTAGTGAAGGTCAGAAATAGATAGTCGGTTTTGAGTTGATTGAACGCGAGAACGCGAGCGAGTGTGTCGGTGCTGAGTGATTTGATTCTGTTCTGTCTCGTCGGTTATTATTTCTAATCATTGTTTGCAATCTGATAGCAGTGACGAGAAACTGAGTATTTCTTATCTCTTAATATGAATGAGTTTAGTTATGAAAGTACGCGCATTCGTGAATAATTTAGCAGTGCACACCTTTACAAGGACTCTAGGGTGGATCAGAATGCTGCTGCTGATCTTATACCGCTATGTATAGGTGTGGTTCTGGTAATTTCTGGTAATATTTCTGGTAATTTCTGGTAATATTTCTGGTAATTTCTGGTAAAATTTCTGGTAATTTCTAGTAATATTTCTGGTAATTTCTGGTAAAATTTAAGTTCTGGTAATATTTTTGCACGTTTATGCATATTTATGTGCTGGTGTTGCTGGATGCACCTGGTCGGTGGTTCGGTTCACGTTTCACTTCACGTTATGAACAGCAACTGTTGCAGTGAAGAATTACTGTGCTGGTTTGTAAAGCGAGATATCGAGATGATACGTACATTATTCTCATATCTGTCGTCTACCTACCAGCTAGTCAAATGTGCATCTTAATGAGATATACTGCTTATTATTCATCTGTTTATCATCCATTTATCTGGCCGCCGCCGCTGTTTGTGTGGCTTGTGCTTTTGTTTCTGTCGCTTCATCCATCCATCCATCCATCCATCCATCCATCCATCCATCCGTCCATCCATCCATCCATCTGTCAATGAAAGCATTCGGACTTCTTCATTAAAATCGCTATAATAATCCAGTTAACATTAACACCTGACGTTTTACTTTTTCTTAAGTTTAAACCAAACAAGCTCTTAAATTTATTCAGTTGTGATAATGATTGTGATAAGATAATGATTCAATGTGCAATGACTGATGATTCATTCATATGAATCGATCCATCCAGTCCAAGAATGTGATGATCCGATCCAGGTTATCAGTGTACTACTGCTGTTGCTCGTACAGTTGATGATGATGATGTTAGTCGTGTTTGTCTGTTGCAGCTGATGCTCTTATCAAACTCTTATCATATTATCAAGCAAATGATATTATCAGTGTGAATTTATCACATATTATCCAATTTTATCGTATGTTCACATCATTCTTATCAAATCATTTTCACGCTCTTAGAGATAGTAGATGTATTCGTATTCAATGTGAGCAGTGCAGAGGAGTAGGTAACGACAGGCCGGCCAGGTGGCGGCAGCAGCACATATTTAGATGAAAACTCTATAGCAAATGGGTGAAGAATGATTTATTTATTTATTTGCTTGCGTAACATTCAGCGCCCTCTAATTTAGTATTATTTTAAGTAAAATGGTTAGCCATAGAGGGGGATTGGTCAGATGGTGGCAGCCAGTTTAGAGTGTTATGTTGTTGTTGTGATTATTGTTTGTTTATTATATATATATTTATTATATATGTATTGGAATATTGATTTTGCTTGTTAACTACAGGTTTGCCTGCATTAGTCACTGTGCGTGCTTTCGTTTGCACATGTCTTGCCGACCTACTCTAAATTGTTCTTATCTGTATTAGATATGAGAATATTTAGATTATATTGTTTATTTTATCGCATTTATAGTATTATTTGAATATTATTTATTGTTTATTTAAATTAAGTTTATTTAAATCATTTTATTCTATATTACTAGAGGAAACCTGAGGTTTTTATGGTGATTCAGCTACTTATCACCCGCTTAACTACGGAGTCAGAGGTAGGGACTTGGACTGGCTATAGATATGGCCCATCCCACCTGATTGAAATTTTTTTTCAATTTATGCACCTCACCATTACCCCCCCCCCTCCCCAATATATACATTGTTCAGACAATTACTATTTCATTTTCATGCTGTCTTATTTACTGTATATATAGTAAACAACGGCAGTCTGAATTAGAGCTGTGTGTGTGTGTGAAAGGCTAGCTGTTAAGGTGGTGTATGCGTAAGGTAATATGACAGGTAGAAGAAATGTAACGTGAGTGAGTACAATTAACGTTGTTAGAATACAATAGAGTTAAAGTTAAAATGGTGATATGAGTATAATAGTGTAATAATAGTAGTTGGTTGCTTGCTTGGAATCTATTGATCTGTCATATAATATCATGATGAACGAACGATAGCGATGGATGGATGGATGGATGGATGGATTAGATGGTTGAATGTTCAGTAGATGATTTCTCGTTTATTAATATCTATCGATGTGCAATGTGCTTATTTATCTCTCTTCTCTTATCGCTTTTCTTGTGTAATCATCCTATTACTCGTGCAATATCGATTAATCGGCTGGCTGGCTGGCTGTATTTTCTTTGACTAGCATAGAATAGAGATGTAACTTCGATGAAGTACGTGTGCATGCGTGGATGGCTGGATGGCTGGATGGCTGCAAATGAGCAGTGAGCAGTCAGATTTCATTTCATTTCGATTTACTTCCCAGATTTTTTTTTGGTGTTGTTGTTGCGTTGTGCTATATTGAGGAGTTTAAAGTGAGCGTATCCTTCCTTAAGTGTAAAAAGTATCACTTAGAATAATGTTGCCTAGTCAGTCGGGTAGGTGCCATTGTGCACACTCTATTCAGGGATTGTTGTCCTGTTGATCTGTTGATTTGTTGATTTGATCTGTTGATTTGATCTGTTGAACAGGATGATCTGTTGATCATCCTTGATTGCATCTATCCGTCCGTGCATTCAGTATTTTGATATACTAGCCTAGTCACTCACATACATATCTCTTAAATGAAGCCTAGTTCGGTTATCGTCGTCGTTAATAGGTTTGATTCAAATTCAAGCGTACGTACGTACGCTTAATTGTAATTTGAAATTGTGAAATCATAAAAATATCTGTGAATACTTATGTTAGGTGTATGAGTGGATATATTTATGTACTCATTCGTGTTGTAGTAGTGAATAAGACGGCTTGATGATTTACGTGTAGATACATACGTATAGAATGAATATACATACTTACATTAGATATTGTAAGTATATTTGTATGAAAGTATAAGTGAGCATTGGGTTTGATGCTTAGACTGGCAGTAGGCCGGCTGGTAACAAGCAGCAAAATTGAGTAAGCCATGCTAGCTGGCTGGCTGGCTGGCTGGCTGGCGCGTATCGATAGCCGGCTAGTAGAGCCAGCCGCCTATAGCAAGCAGTAGACAAGCAGGCAGGCAGGCAGGCACGCACTTTCTATAATATTTGAGATGTGCTGCTGGCTGTCATTCTGTTCTTTCTTCTTTCTGTTCATTCTCATCTGGAAAAAATTCTTGTCGTGTTTGATAACTTGTAGTCACTGAATTGATTTCGATTCAGTACGTGAATGTGATTGATCCAGTTTGATATGATAATCGATAATCGTTTGTGATAATTTATGTAACGCAATCAACAGTAGTGTGATTTATGTGAACCGTTACGGATGCGAATGATTCCGAGTGATAATTTTTGTGAATAATGAATGCAGCAGCAGCAGCAGCAGCAGTATTCGCTGGCCACACGAAAAAATCTGAAGCTGAAATCTCTACGTGTGCTTAGACTAAAGCAGTTGATTCAACTCAGTAGTTGACTAGCAAGCAAGCAAGCATTGCATTTAGTGGTTGTGTTTGAACTTTAGAGCACAGCAACAATCACGACACGACACGACAATAATAATAATAAGTGAGAGTGTACTTGCTTGTTTCGGTTCTTAAGAAGCGTCCTCGTAACCACTACGTGTTAAGGATATAAGGCGGCAACCAGATGAAAGTTGTTGTATGTGTGTGTGTGTGTGTTTGGTTGTTTTTTTTAGCATTAAAAGTACCCATCATCGTACTATGCCGCCGAATCAATCGTATTATAATACGATTCAATTGCTGCTGCTACTGCTAATGCTACTGCTGCAGCAGCAGCAGCAACAGCTATATTGTTAAGGCCGGCCGGCCGTTCAAGTGAATTGTGTAAATTTTTAATGTTCATATTCATAGATATATTATGCACACGTCGTATAGTTATATACTCGTTTCTAGATACGTAGAGTTTGCAGAATGCAGCAGCCGAATGACTCTAGTGTGACAACGCCATGAACGACCGCCCGGCCGGCCGGCATTTAATCCCGGCCGGCATCATTTTTCAGTCTCTCCCGGGATTTTGAGCAACTTTTGGATGTTAGATGAGAAATGAAAACGCCGAACTAGCACTATGCATGGATCGAACCATCTTTTCATTAGCACATGATAGTACACTGTGAATTTTGTACAGAATGGTGGCTTATTTTATGAAATGTTGTTGAAATCGCAGGATTTTCCAAAAAAATATATTAGGACGAGATAGGAACGTCAGGACTGAGGGATGTTGGGACTGCGTGCAAATCCAACCCAATTGTGCATCTATCTATGTATTATGGTGGTGGTTAATGTACGAGTAAGAATTTTTTAAGTATTCAATAGAACAAGTCAATAGAATGCATAATATTTTATAGATTCTCTTTTATACATCATATATGAGATAGTGCTGGCTGCTTTATTCGATGTGCCGGCCGGCGTTCGCTTGTTTGGGTTGTTTTTTTTTTTTTTTTTTTTGGAGATACAAATGGATATGCAGCAGAATGAAGGAAGGAAGTGTGTGTGTAGATTTTTGAATATAAGTAGAGAAGTGGACAGGAGAATAATTCTGTTGATCTATCGATATATGTTACGTAAATTTATGTGCGTGCTTGGCATGCGATTTGGTGCATGCGAATATTTGATTTTTTAGTTAGTTGAAATGAATAGCGTACGATATATTAAGTTATTTGTATTTGTATGTGGTGTTGGTTGTTGTATTGATTCGCTGGCGTTCATGCCATCACAGTTCTTACTTAATAGTACTTAATAGTAATTGAACGACGACGACAAGCAGAATAATAGACGGCAGACGGCTGGTTGGCTGGCTGGCTGGCTGGCTTGGTTCAATTTAAGTTATAGGTTGATTTTGTGTTAGTTTTAGGTGAGTTAGTTGAGTTTAGTGCGAGTGTAACATAATAATAATAATAATAATAATAATCACTGTCGTGTTGCGTTGTCATAAGGTTTTTGCGTTGTGAAGTTAATTAGTTGCTGATTATCGAATTAGTGAATTGGTGGATTGATTGATTGATTGATTGATTGATTGATTGATTGATTTGATTTAGATTGTTTAGATTTGATTTGGGTGGATGTTGTTGTTATTGTTATTGCGGTGCTGCGGCGTTTCCACGTGATCCAGATTATGCAAAAATGGGTGCAAAGGAGTTGAGTGCAGCTCAGCAGGTATTAATTATAATTATAGTATTAATTACAGCAGGTATTAATTATAATAGTAATATGTGTCACATAAACTGCTGCTGCTTCGTTTCCTAGATGTGCGTGCATCTTATTGGGATGTGATGTGCACGTATAGTGAAAATGTGCTGCTTAAGGATCGGATCGTTCGATCACGATATATCTCTTCGATATATCTCTATTGGTTTAATGTTTTTCGGTATAAGAAGATAATCAGTGAATTGAATTTGTAATGATAGTAACGAATGAAATAATGACTACAATAATAATGACTACAATTAATTATTTATTCATTAATTACCGATGTTGTCATTTCCGTTAGTTTATCGTGTGTTCTGTTGCTGTTGGTTTTGAGTCTTATGAGTCTTACGAAGGAAAAAAAAACAAATCAGACGGCGGATTGTTGAGTGAAGGATTGAGAGGTGAAGCTAGCAGCCAGCTGCCGTTCCACTGCTGCTGCTGCTGCTGTTGGTGCAGCTGTAATTTTGGCTGATATGCAGCAGCAGCAGTAGAGAGTTTTGATAAGTAGGAGAGCAGGCAGCAGCAGCATAATAATTTCATGTGAATGCAGTCATAGAATTGCAAATGAAGTGTACTCACTCAGAATTAGTACTTTTTTAGGAATTATTTGATGCAGTACGAAAGGGTGATTTAGAAAAAGTGAATTTATGGTTAGCCAACAAACGCAATAAACGTCCTCGAACACCGTTGAATTTTCTGCGTGCAAGCAGCACACCACAAACAGCATGGTTAAGCGCCATGGTGGATCCGTCGAATGGCTATACAGCATTGCATTTGGCCGCTTTACAAGGTCATGCCAGTGTGCTAAGTGCGTTGTTGGATGCAGACGTGACAATGTTAAACGCACGAGATCGTCGTGGTTGTCTACCGATTCATTTGGCCGCCTGGAATGGCCATCTAGAAGTGGTACAGCTTCTGTTGGAGACTCAACCAGAGCTTGTCGATGCCGTCAATAATGCCAAAGAATCACCATTACATTTGTCTGCACAACATGGGCATGCTAAAGTGGTCACTGCACTATTGGCGGTTTGTACTTTATCTATCGCCAGCTAACATGACAACAGCCACAATCATACAAAATGCCTTCCTTCGTTCGTTTTATCGGGATCTGGATCTGGATCTGGATCGGGATCTGGATCTGGATCAGGTATCGGCATTCACCGAGAAAAAGTGACCGAAATGATGTTATAAGTAATCGAAATGCTGCAGGGATATGGATCGGGATTTAAATAGGGATTACGGGATAAGTAATTAATTTAGGATCGGATTGCATTTGTTTAACGCAAACACTTCTTTAATTTCGTGTTCTTATCATTGGAATGGTTTTATGATTATTATTATTATTATTGTTGTTGTTGTTGTACAGAAACACGCAGATGCACGGCTAAGGAATGCCCGAGCCGAAACGGCGTTAGATATCGCTGCACGTCTTGGTAAAGCGAACGTTTGTCGATTGATCATCTGTAACTGTCCGGAATTGGCTCTTCAGGTGATTGATTGATTATTGATTGATTGGTTATTGATCGGTAAATATTTGTTGATGTGTATTGTATTGCATTTGCAGAGCGCAGCAGACTGTTCGTCAACTGATTCGGGACGTTCCAGACATATCGCGCAAGTAGTGTACCCGTTGCATGCAGCTGCACGACACGGTCACATCGACTGTCTGCAGATCCTCTGTCAGTCGGGATTCGATCTGGATTATGTGACCGATGAAGGGAGTGCACTCCATGTGGCCGCACTCTTCGGCAAGGTTGATGCTGTTAAACTGTTGCTCAGTCAAGGTTCGTCTCTTCCTATCACGATTCTATTTACTGATCAATAACCAATCAATCAATCAATCACCTGAAGAGCCAATTATGATTATTATGATTATGCATTCACTCATCTAACATGATGATGTTCACCTTTGCGTTCAGGCATAAGCATTGAAACACGTGATAGTCAAGGTCGAACCGTGCTTGACACACTCCGTGAACACGAGAGTGAAAAAGCCTCTGATCTGACGCAGGTCATACAGAGTCGTGAAGGGTGGTCTGAATGCCGCAAGCTTATCGAATGTCAGCTTATTCATATTCTTACATTTATCATTGATCTGTCTCATAATACAGCCATTCTTATTGTTATTAATATTAATATTATTATTATTATTATTATTATTCAATTGCAACAAGAGTTTATCGTGGTTTCAGCTTATATTCAACAGCAAGATCATCATCATCATCTATGCAGTGCTAGCAGTGCCATTTTTGGAGCTGTAGAAGATCGGCGTAAATGTACACATCGCGGAATGGCAGCCGTTTGTTCAAATTCAACTGCTAGCAGAACTATAAACAGTAATAAGCAGCAGCAACAGCAGCAGCAGCAGCAAGCCAGCAGTAGTGCAAATGATTCTGATTGTTGGAATGGCAGTAGTGGCAGCAACAGCAGATTGTTGAATAGTGTGGTGGTGTTGAATGCTGAAGAGCCGTCAGATGAACAACGTAGACGACGTTGTTATTGCTTGTGTTGTTATCATAATAGTGGTGGTGGTGGTGGTGGTAGAAATGCAACGAGTGCAGCAGCGAGTGCAATTGAAGTGACGGGCACGATGACGGTGGCAAATGGTGCCACTGAAACTGATACAAAGAATTTGCTGAGTAGAGAATGTTCGTCATCTGCAGCTGCAGCTGCTGCTGCTGCTGCTGCTGCAGCTGCAGCTGCTAGATGCGGTGGCGGCGCATCAACATCGAACCCAGCTACCACAACAGCAACAGCAGCAACAGCAACAGCAGCAGGAACAACACCATCGGCATTAACAGCGACAAATTGTTCGTGTTGTTCGTGTAATACGACGCCATCGTCACCGTGTTCTTGGATGCATGATCGCTCAACCAACAATATATCTTCAACAATGGCCATCAACCCGTCCTTACGACGAGCACCACATCAAACAGCCACTGCTCCAGCTGCTGCGCGAATGTATCAGAATGCTTCCATGATAAGTGGTGGTCAGAGCCAGAGGTCCAGGATCATGTCAACTTGCCCAAAATGCAGCAGTGATCTTGTTCAAGTGGCGGATGCTGAAAATGTGCAAGTGCAAGATGTGGTTTGGCGACCCATTCCCGAGTGTGCTGCATCAGGTTAGTAGTTACTTGCAGGTAATTATATATGGTAAGAAGAAGTTGGCAGTACAGGTGACTAGAGTGATTCTAAAAGAAATATGGATGGCATTCTTATGTGAAGATATTTGAATTGAATTTGTTTTGCAGCACGATTGCATCACGAGGCAGCAGCAGCAGCACTAAATCGTAGTAAGGCAGCATCACAGCAACATCGAGAAGAGCAATTGAATGTGCTGCTCACGTGTTGTTCATCACCCACCTCTCGTCATAGCCACCATCATCGTCACACTTGCGGCGCCGCTGCGGCTGCTGCTGCTGCTGCAGCATCTTCATCGTCTCCTTCACCTCAAAGCCTAAGCCATCATCATTCTGAATCTAGTCATGTTCGTTCCACTTTTGCTACTGCTTCGTCTGAAAATGAACCTACAGCAGCAGCAGCAGCAGCATACCCTCAGCATTACCACCCATGTAGTCGTCGCACATCTGAAATCGATTATTCCGATTGTAATTTATTGCAACAGCAGCAGCAGCAGCAACAGAATTCAAGTGGAACGCTGATTTATCATCCTCCGTCATTACTGGTTATTGATTTGATCATTAAATGTCGAATAATCATTAAATCTTCATTTACAAATGTATAGTTTAATGGCTTTATGATATGAATCGATGCCCAAAGGTTTACTGCTACTTGTCATCATGTTTCATAACGTAAGAGCAGTGCAGTGTGTCTATCGTCAAGTGCGTCGTACCTCAGCGAAAACCAAGCAAGATGGTCGCTCAGTATTCAAGCGTTCAGGAAAAAAATGTGCATAAGCTGCTAGTTAGTTAGTAGTTTATGCTAGTAGCTTATGCTCAAGCAGTGAGTTAGTTGGTTGAACGGCTCTAGAGAGGGTGGTGGTTGTGCCAAACGGAAGGAAGGACATGCGGTCTCGTATCATATTGTTATATTCTCGATGATTTTATTGTTTACTTGTAAGGCTGATGTGATAACACTGACGAACGCTGAGCATGATGATAATGGAGATGGAGATGAATCGTTTGCAATGGTGTTGCATCATCATCATCACGACGACGACAACGACAACGAAACCAACGATGCTACGTCGTCGTGGTCGTCGTCGTATCACATCCGCCGCGATTTACAGCCGTTGCAATATGATTCACAGTTGGATGGTGTTTCAACGTTGAGTCTATCGACGACGTTGATTGATCCATCTTCCGAAGCGGATGCTTCAAGGTAAGAACAAAAAGCCAGCCACTACTGCAGTTCGCTGCTGTTGTTGTTGTTGCTGCTGCTGCTGCCACCGCTGACTTATTAGGTGAATTGAAAAGGCAGCAAATCAAGTTTGATCATCATCCGCACTTAAGATATTAGGGTAGTGGATGGTTTAGTGACACGAATGAATAGATTGATATGAGAGACTGAAGTAAATTATTGTTATATGGTGCATTCACTCTTACTAGTATCCTATCGCAAACGTTGTTTAGCAGTGGAGGACAGCCATCGCCATCAATAGGACGACATGAAACACTGTCAGATCATCATAGTGGACAAGATGTTTGTGCATTCAATGGTTAGTTTCGTGGTCAGTGTTGTTGTTATAGTGAATGTTGTTGTGCTCGTACTCATCTTCATGCTTGTCGTTGAATTAGCTGCAGAAACATCAAGATATGTGTCAGGATTGGGCTCGCTAGGAGCTGCGGCAGCCATTCAATCGGCAGCAGCAGCAGCCACAGCCACTCAGCAAGCTCCACGTTTCCCATTAACTTCACCGACGAATAAGAGCCGTCACGCGAAATCAAATCGTTCTGCTGCTGCTGCTGCTGCTGGCAGCCTAGTGATCGGTACTCTCGCAAGCGCTAACAATGCTACTCAACAACAACAACAACAGCATCTACAACCTCGTATGGGTATGACGAGCGTGGCTTGTAAGTCTTTGCAGAGTTAACTCTGATATTATAAGCCTATCACCAGAAAAGAATACATACATTCGACAAGAGTGTGACCATGTGTATGGTGCAGTCGATCGACGAAGACCGTCAGTAAAATAGGCGAAGCGTTAGGTGGTGGTTTGCATAGATCCCAGCAGTGAAACTTATTTATTTGCAAATATAATAGATTTGTCTGGTTTTGTGCTGTTGATTAAAATGATTTTTAGTTGCAATTAGTGAATTGTCGTGTCGGCTTATGATTACGGTGATGATGTTTAGGTGGTGCTGCTTCAAGTGGTGGTGGATTGATGATGTTGAAGCAGCCGAGCCAGGGCCCAGGCCCGGGCTCGTTAGCAGCAGCTGCAGCCACAACTTTAACGGTAACAGGTAGATGCGCATCGTGTGCGTCCTGTGTGGTTGTGCCACGTCGAATGTCGTCTAAGTCAGCAGCTATGGCTCCAAATGGCCCGACTCTATCGTATTGTACCTATCAAGCACCACCAGTCGGCAGCTCAGCAGCAGCCGCTCAGTATTTATGCAATAACAACAATAATCTGCCGAGTGCCGCTGAGCCACGTATAGGAGCGCATTTAGCTGCGAAAGCTTCTACAATGATCACTGGATGTTATGATAATGTGCCGTGTGCAAAGCCGTCATCTTCTTCCGCTTCATATCAAATGGTACTTCGTTACGATAATGTACCAACGAATCTACTCGTCTACGACAATGCGCCTCCATTTGGTAGGTGCAAATTGTTGTTTTTGAGTGTTTTAAAAACTTGTAGTAATTGTTGTTGTTGTTGTTCATTAATTAATTAATTAATCAATCAATTAATTAATTAGTAATTTGTGTGCAGGACATCGTCGTTGGGAACATACATGTGGAGCAACCACCACTGCAGCACATCATCAAAACTGTACGACGAATCATGTTGTTTCACCAGTGCATTCGAGTAAAAAAAATTTACTGCCTATGGACGATACGACGACGATGCCTCAAGGTGACATTGTTAAATACTGTTTGTAAACCGAGCGGTGAGCAGCTTCTTCCGCGCTCTCTCTCTCTCTCTCTCTCATCCAAGTGCATCTAGAATATTTGCAATTAGAGATTTGTTTTTGGGTTTTTAATTAATTACTTAGTTAATTAATTAATTAGTTTCAACGTAGCGTCTGAAGCCCGCACATGCAAGTAGCAAATGATCTGTCTTATGTGTCTTATTGTTGTGCTTTGCAGTGAAAGTAGTTAGGGCTGCTGCGGTTGGTAGTGCAGCAGCAGCACGAGATGCAGCAGCAGCAGCAGCACAAGTATCGTCGTCGAATTCGGTGATGAGCTCAAATGCGTTAGGCAATTTGACACATTCTTTGGACATAGGCTCGAGAAACGAGAACGGCTCACATACTTCATCACCACCAAATACTCCTATTAAGACGTTTAAAACGGAGACCTTAACCACTGTGCATGCCAGTGAAACTGTACCAGCAACAATGTTAACATCAGTAAGTTTTAATAGTAATAGTAATAATAATAATAAAAGTAATAGTAATAATAATAGTATTAGTTATAATAGTAGCTCTGACGAGTGCCGATGCGTAGCGAAAAAAAACAATTTGAAGAACGGTAGTCAATCCGAGGCGTTTGATATAGAATATAATTATTAAGCGAGCTGAGCCGTGCATGGCTATGAAATTGGTTTCGAATGTAATGCTGCTGCGTCATGGAGTGTTTTATAAGAGTGATATTAAAAAATATGTAATAAGCGATGCTAAAACGATTGCTGGAAATAATGAATCATAGAAGGAATCAGATCAGATATAAAGCATTCGATTGATTGATTGATTGCATTCGAATGTGCAACGCGTTTATAGTAGTAGGCAGTGATTATGATTTGGTGTGGAATGAATCAATTTAGTTTGTTAATAGGATTTTAATGGTGGTTTCTTTTGATTGTGCTCATTTCAGTGCGCGTAAACTGGAATATATCTGAGAACTTATTATGTTTGAATAGAATAAGATGAAAACTGCGGAATGACGATTATATAGTAGTAAGTGATGTTACTGTTACTGTTATTGCTGCTACTAGTATTGCTAGTGATGTTTTCGTTGTAGGTTTTAACAGGTACAGAGAACAGGTAATAATGTGATAACGTGATTAGAGCAGTACTGATAAGGGGAAATGTTAAGAGATGACGTAGTTAGTGATAAGGTGGTAGTGGTGGTGGTAATGTTATCAGTGATAATGTGCGAATTTGATCAGGAAGGCAACGAAGAAGCGATAGAGGGTGAACAAGAGGCAAGAGGACGACAACTGAAATTATCGATAGAACGAGAGGTGGGTGAGATTGAAGAGAGTGAATCGGAATTGAAAGCAGATGACGATAGTTGTGGTGCAGTTGGCACATTCTTAGATAGATTCGTTTCGTCGTCAACACTGGAGCGTCGTTGTTAGTTGTAATTTAATTAATTATCATTCATTTGTTTTTTAATTATTATTATTTGAATTGAATTTGTTAATTAACTAGCGTATATTTATATGTATATTAATAATATGATGGATAGATGATGCGTTAATTAATATGTTACTGTGAAATAATTGATAATTGATTGGTGTGGTGGTGGTGGTGTTCAAATGCTAGTTTCATTAATTATATCAGCAAATGCAATCAATTCATTACGAGTTAATGCCTTAGTGTTATCACCAATATCATTACATTGTTGCTTCGTTGACATCCTTCGCTTGACATTCCGCGCAGATAACGATATTAGCATTGGGAGTGGAGTGGTGGATCGATCGATCGATCGATTGATTGATTGATCTGCCTTGATCAGATTATAACTTGGATCAGTGATCTAATCGACGAGCAGCACTAAGGCGGCATCACACAGGTCAGGCGAACGCACGCACGGCTACTCTCCTTGCAGTGGTTTCTAGGGAGAGGGATTACAGTTGGATGCTACAATGAATACTAGTGGTTGAGTGATGATTGAAGTGATGATTCAGCAAGTCTACCCGAAGCAGCAACAATAGGGTCTGTGCTGTCATCGTCCTCACGAGAGGGGTCAGGGGTCGAGCACAAAGGGGGACAACACAATG